GGCCGGACATGGGCGGCGGTTTACCGGGTGACCGCGGCGCTGCCCGAGGCCGGAGACGGAGGGCGGCTGTCTGCGAGCCAGGATCCCTCAGGCCTCTCCTGCGGACATGGGGCCGCTACCTTCCCGGCCTCCGCAGCACTTGCCCTGCGCCCATCTCTGCCCGCCTCCAACTCGAGTCTGACAGAGCGGGTCAACCATGAGCGCCAACCCCCAGTGGGACATCAGCAGAGCGCTGGGGGTGGCCAGGCTCTTCCATCTGGTGTGTGGGGTCCGGGATGCCTGCGTGACCCCGTTCCTGACGCTCTACCTGAGGCAGCTGGGCTTGACCGCGCCCTGGGTGGGCATCCTAATGGGAAGCAAGCTTCTGGTCGCAGCCTGCTGGGGTCCGTTCTGTGCCTTCCTGGCCAAAAGCTGCCAGAAAAGGAGAGTATTTCTGGTAGGCTCCCTGCTTGGGTCGGCGGTAGCCAGCCTCTTGATGGTCCTGGTCCCACCGCTGAACAGAAATGTGCTGTACCATGCTTGCAATGGAAGCAGTGGCATGACCACCACAGTCCTGCCACCGGGAGTCACATTCACTGTGACCATCACCTCTGCCCAAGAGTCTGCCTCAACCCAACCTGCAGGACCACCCAGCCTCCCAGCCAAGAGGAGGCCTGAAGGCTTGGAGGCCTCTGGCTTCACAGATGGACCTGGAGAAAGTGAACAAGAACCTCTCAAGGAGCTGCACTTAGTGGGCTCCTTTGAAGGAGCTAAGGCCACATCCCAAGTTCTCCATCCTGTCACTTCAAGAGTGAAAGATAATACCTGGGAAGGTGCTTCTGAGGTGGTCGATACTGCTGTCCTTCCTAGCGATGCAGTGCTGGGTGGTCCAGCCAATGCGTCAGAGGCCAAGAGGGAAGTTGGGTCCCTGGACCTCTCCTCAGAAGGGTTGCAGTGGACTTTCCTCCTCTCCTTGGTCTTCCTGGTGTTCTGGGAGCTGCTCACAGCCCCTCAGGAGCAGGTGGCCAATGACAGCCTTTATGAATACCTGGATTTTGTTGATGCCACTGACCGATACAGAAGCCTGGGGCTCTGGAGATTACTGGGCATGTCGGCAGGTGTATGTAGCATTGCAGCCTTGGTGGGGCGGCTGGACTGCTTTCTGATGACACATGGCACTTGGGGTGTGGTGTGCTTCTATAGCTACTCATTGGTCAGCACCGTGTCCTTACTGGTGAGCCTTGCCTTTCCTATCCCTACCTACCAGCAGCAGGAGCCTGGCTACAAAACCATCAAAGCACTGTCTCTCCTAGGGGGCAACCCCCACCTCCTCCTCCTAGCCTTCACTGTCTTTTTGGTAGGCACTGTCACCAGCACAGTGCAGAACTTTCTCTTTTGGCACATGGAGGACCATGGCAGCAGCAAGCTGGTCATGGGCTTCTCAGTGGCCCTCAGCTTGCTGGGGGAAATTCTGTTCCACCCATTTAAAGCTGTGTTGCTTCGGAAACTGTCCAGGGTGGGAGCGGTAGGGCTTGGGATGGGATGCCTCGCCGGGCAGCTGCTCTACTACTCTTTCCTCTGGAGCTGGTGGTCGGTCTTGCCTGTTCAGATCCTGAGTGCCATCAGCAATGGGGTTTTGTGGTGGGCCATGGAGGCCTCCATGGAGGACCTGGCCACCCCTGTCACAGAGAGGCCTCTGAGTACCATGTTCCGAGGCCACTTCTACAGGGGCGGTTGCAGCCTGGGCAGTTTTGTGGGGGGGATTGTGGTGATGCGCTTCAGCCTGGCCGTGCTGTACCGTGCCTGCTGTGTGGTCCTATCACTCTGGCTGGCCATGTTTCTGTTCATCCAGCCCAGGCTGCCCCAAGAGCGGAAAATCAACTACTCCAAGCTGCTGGCTGTGGAGGGGAGTGACACCAGCGACTCTGAGCCAGGGTCAGAAAGGGACTGGCTTGTGAAGGCCATGAGGGAGGAACCCTGAGACTAGAGGGGCTGAGAGAAGGTCGTAGTGCACTGACCCAGGAAGGAACTAATGAGCTGGACAAAATTCAGTCTTCTGAGGACAGAATCCCTGGGTTGCAAGGACCTTGGGGAGAGAAGGCACTTCTATGCTGAAGGCATGATTTTCTTTACCTTTCTAGTAAAAGGTGATTTGACTTTTTTGGCCATTAAATCTTTTTAAAATAATGGAGGAAGAACGCATTTCCTTTTTAAAAAATACCTTTGTATCATTCTATTTTGACACCGGTTTGTATTGGATCCAGCAAGGGCTGGTTTCTGGAAGGTGACGAGGACTCACAGGATGCAGTGGACAGAGAGGGCAGCTGTCTCAGATGAGCTGTGATCATTTTCATGGGTCGCAGAGGCATTAGCCTAACCCTATGAAAGCCATGCTGGGCAGGTAAGAATAGCAGTGGACATCTTAGCTCCTCTCCCTCCCCACAGATGCCTGCTCACACTCTAGGACTTAAGTTTGCAATGAGAGAAAATGATGGCCTTGTACTGTACTGTGCTGGGAGAGGGGTGGGGAAGTTGGTAGCTTTCATTCTTATTTGAAAATATGTTGTCACCAGGAAAAAGATCCTTAGAATCACCGTCCATATTTTTATCAGAGCAAGGGCAATTTAATATCCTAGGATGTGGTAGTCTCCTTCAGTAGGGGCTCTGGGCACTGTACCTGTGCCCGGCCACTCCTGGAGAAGCCTCTTGGTCCCCCAGAGAAAGATCCTTTATTTCAGAGGTCAGTTCCCCAAAGCCCAGTTCTTCTACCTGATAATCAAATAAACAGGATATTGGATTTAGAAGGAGCCTCGCTGTGCAAATACATTAATGACTGTCCACTAGGTCAGACATTTTCTAGGATTTTTCTCCCTCAATTTTTACAAGCTTTAGTATACAAATAACTAGGAAGGGAAAAGACAATAAGGCAAACAGGACCAGGAAAGCAAAAGCCTTCCCAGAACTCCTCAGCTGACTTCTTTGTAAACTGTGTCACATCCTTCCACACTCACCCCAAGCGATTCTGGGAAGCAGAGCATCTTCAGCTGGGTACAGTGACACCTTCAGCAAAATCAGGGTTGTGTTAGGAAGAAGCGCTGAATATAGGATCATCTACTGAGAACATCCACAGTAGTAGCAGGAGCAGAATTCACATGCAAATCTGTCTCCTTCCAAAGCCCATGTTCCTTTCACCCCAGTCAGCCAGCTTCCTCACATAAATGACTCCAGCAATTTGACCCCTCTCATGACTCTAGGAATAAACCCAAAATCTAATCTGCATTTTACAAATGAGGAAATGGAATCTCAGAAAAGTCGCCCACTGGGTAATGGACAGATACGCTACTGGAGCCTGCTCTCCTTATCCCCAAACTAGGACATTTTCTTATATACCAGTAGTGCGTAGGCCCAGCTGTCTATGCAATTCTGAGAAGCATAGACTGAAAAGTCAGGCTTCTGGGTGTCATCAAGATTTCCTGGGTGGAGCACAGAAATTTGTATTTTTTCCTGCAGTCTCCAAGTGATTCTGATGTGGCTGACCGCGCCCTGATCCACTCGGTCCCTTTTACAGAAGTATCTAAGCGCTTCTTTAGTAAATGTTTCTAATGTGTGGAGAAAGGAATAATAGCTGTTGCCAGGCACAATGGTGCATACCTGTAATCCCAGCTACTCAGGAGGTTGAGGCAGGAGGGTCACAAATTTAAGGCCAGCCTGGACAATTTAGGGAGACTCTGTCTCAAAAATAAGTAAAAAGGGTTGAGGATGTAGCAAAAGAAAAAGACACAAAGATGATGGCCACTGAGCATTTCCTATTGGTCAAATACTGTTCTAACAGAGCTTATTTAATCCTCAGAACAATCCCAAGATGTAGTCATTATTAGCATTTTCAATTTACGATGTTTATTAACATCTCCAATCTACAGATGCCAAGCTGATGGCTAAAATAACTTGCTAGAGCCACAGCTGGGTAGTAGCAGAGTCAGGATTCGGGTCTGGTGGCTCCAGGACCCGAGATTCTAATCACTATGTGTGGTCTGTGGCCAAGAATTCTAGGCAGGGGAATAAAAGGGAAATTAAAGCCACTGTCATTTGAAATTTACTGGCTAGTAGACAGTATTTACCACTATAAGTAGAACACACAATAATATCAAAATATAAACACAAGTATGTCCTGCTGATAGAAAAAAAAATGATGAAGAACAGGAACTGGCACAAGAGTCATGGTGGTAAGTGTGGGTTAGCCTGAAGAAGGAACTATAAGTAGAACACACAATAATATCAAAATATAAACACAAGTATGTCCTGCTGATAGAAAAAAAATGATGAAGAACAGGAACTGTCACAAGAGTCATGGTGGTAAGTGTGGGTTAGCCTGAAGAAGGAAGAGCAAAGTGCTCATTACCATTCTTAGCTGCCCACAGCACAGCTCTCATAGGGCCAGGTTGATGCCTCCATGCAGGAACACCCATGCACAGAGATTTTAACATCTGCTTGGGCTAGGACAGGCTGGAGGAGGGTGGTATTAAAGGAGATAGAGACTGAGTGAAGTCAAGATTTAAGGATTCAAAGACTTTGTGTGCATGTGTGTGCTACTGAGGCTCAAACCCAAGGACTTCACACTGAGCTACAGCCCCAGCACCCATGCTTTTTAAATTTTACTTTTAGTTCGAGGCAGGTTCTCACTAAATTGCCCAGGCGGGGCTCAAACCTGTGAACTGCCTGCCTCAACTTCCCATAATGTTGGAGTTACAGGTGTGGGCCACCACACCCTGCAAGGGTCCAAAGACATTTGTGTCTTGATTATTTAGTCTATTTGTAAAGAACTGTGCCACTACATGGGGTCAAGGACAAATGAAATGCACAGGCCTACCTCAGTAGTGTAGCCTGAAGATGTGCGCATGGACATGTAGACACATAATGACGAACAAGGGAGACTCAATGGACTTTGGTTTTCCTGCTCTGTTATGAGGGCTTCATCACAGAGACATGTTTCACAGGCACAGAAGTCAGACTCATAGCAAATGGCTCCGAGTCCTGACACTCAGCGCGGGGTCTCCCTGGTGTTACAGCCCCCACCCCACATTATTCATCAGCGTGAATTACCAAAAGGCTCCTTACAAATCACTTCACTAGCATAAAACTCAGATGTACCAAAGACACCCTTCCAACTTGGAAAAGTCCAGGGATTTACACAATAATATTTACAGGTTACCTCCTAGGAACCAAGGCCAAAGGCCGAGTACAGTATTACACAGGAAAATGATGTTAATTATTATACAGGATAAGGTTGTTACATACATCAATAATTCAACCTACTGTCTTTCTGAGTAGCACTCCACTGTATGTATAATTTGTGTATTTATTCACCCATGTTAGTACACATTGGATTATTTCCAGTTTGGGCTATTACAAATAAAATTGTTATGAATTTCCACTTTCAAGTATTTGTATAGATAGATACATGCTTTCATTTCTTGTAGGTAAATAACTGTCATTGTGATTTTAATTCACATTCCCTGATAACAAATGAACATCTTCTCATTGTACTATAATTTTGAAAATTAATCAGCAGAAAAGAAGTGAGCAGCCAGGTGTGGTAGCACATGCTTGCAATCCCAGCACTTGGGAGGCTGAGGCAGGAGGATTGCTGCGAGTTTGAAGCCAACCTGGACTACATAATGTTGTTCAAAGCCAGCCTGAACCTATCTTAAAGCAAGACCCTATCTTAAAACAACCACAACAAAGTGAACAGAAATAAAATGTCATAAGGTCATGTTACCTGTCAGAATGGTTAATGCTTCAGAGCAGTGTTCTCTGTTCCCAAGTGCTTTAAAGAAAAACAGTGAAGGCTTTGGAGGAGATTCTTCGGAACACACAGAAACACTGGCATCCGGGCTTGCCGCTGAACACATCTCCAGGGTCACAATCAATGGCTGAGGTCAAGTGTGTGAACTAAGCTGTCCAATCAGAGTAACACCTGCTGGAAACTGTTCCTTGGCATAGGGGACCAATGATGCCCACTCTGCCTACTGTATTTGTGCAAACATGAAACTTTGAGTGACATGTTGCTATTATGATGAAGCCTGCCTGAGAACCAAAAGCAGGGACATAAAAAAATGAGATAAGACAAACAAAATGTCAAGTGGAAAGTTCAGACAGTGAGTATATTTTAGGAAGTGTTGGGCAGGCATGTCTGTGGGGAGGAGGGTGTTTAGAAAACCATCAGAGAGATAAAGAAACTAGCCTCAGATGAAGGAAAGAAGGATGGGGTTGTAATTATGACTTTTACTCTATCGACTACTCTACCCAGTAGGTCAGGGTAATTTGTACAAAATTAAAGTAAATAAAATTCTTAGCTTGCAGCCCTGTGGTTCTCAGAGATACTGAACCTCACATTTGATTCTGGCTAAGAGAAAAGGAAATATTGAATGATCCATTAATTGTTATGGTCAACTTTACTTAGAACCTTATTTTTGAAGTGAATTTTATAGAATACTTAATCCTAGTGGGGTAGAAGGTTGGAGAGAGCAGCAAAAGATGATTCTATGGCCAAACAACTTTGAAATATTATGTAAATTACTGTCACTTCTAGAAGCTTACATTGCCCATTAGCAATTAAAGACTCAAAAGCCCTGGAATAAACAAACTTTTTTTAGCTCTATTTGACCTACAAATACCCTCGTGCACTGTATTTGACATCACAGCCTTCTTCCCTTGTAACACCAATCACAATCCTGCAGAACCTGTCAGAGTTCCCTCAAAGACGTTTTGGAAAATCTCTACAGTTAGCAGTTTTCTGGGCAACCTTTTCGGCTCAGTAAAGTTGGTGCTCCAGGACAAATCTGGTCTCTCCAACTGGCAAGAATTCTGGGCACCACACTAAGAAATTTAGAAAGCTCATTTCATTTAGAGCATCAAGTTTATGAAGTGAGTTGTGACCTAATTTCACAGAGGAAGTGACTATGGTTCAGTAAGGTTAAAATTCAAAACTGTAGCTGACTGACTTTGGAGTTTGTCTTCTCAGCTGCTGTTTTAGTTACTTTTCTCTTCGCTGAGACAAAATACCCAACACCCACAAGTTAAGGAAGGGAAGGTTTATTTAATTCACGGTTGGTAGAGCTTTCAGTCCATGATTGGCTGGCTCTCAGGCAGGGTGGCCTGGCAGACAGGCACTGCACAGCAGAAACAGTTCATGGCAGACAGGAGTAGCAGAGCAAGCGAGGGATGACCACAGCTCTTCCTATCCCTTATATCTTATCCAGACTACTCAGGGAGGGTAGCACTCACACCCTTCATCCTAGTGCCCTGGATCCTAGCATTGCACCAGGAGTCAGTTCCAGTGCTGTACACTCTAGATCCAGCCACCTCTGAAAAAGCCCCACCCACGACTCCGTGAGGTTGTGGGGGACATCTAGACACAAGCCATAAAAACTGTGATGCTAAATCAGTTCAGATAAGAAAAGAGGCTACTCCTAACGGGAAGCGATGATCAGAGCTACCTCTGCCTTAGTAGGGATAAGACACTAAGTTTGTTTCATATGGGGATTCATGAAAAATAATAAGATTGGAGAGATGTGTTGACATTCTATGTGTCAACCTAAGGGAAAGGGAACTCACACTCGTTGCTCATTCTCTCCTCTCTCTGTGACCTAACACCTGCATACCATGATGCTTGCGAGTCCCACAACAATGGTAGTTAATGTTCAGTTTACAGCTGGAGAAACAGCCTCAGAGAGGTTAAGTCAGTCACCCAGTATCGCAATAACAAGGGAGAACCATTAGCTTGAACCCAGATCTGACCACTGCAAATCCCTGATCCTTTTCTGAATACCATGCTGTCTGTAGAAGGGAAAATGTTGCCAGCCAGTGAAGGGGAAGCACTGACAGTTGTATCATTTTTTTATCGGTTGCGCTGTGAATGATGAGTCTGGGCTGAGGGAGACTCTGGGTGCTGAGACACGTGTTTTGGACAGATCATTGTCATTGTCCAGGCAAGAGGAGGCTGCATCCTAAAAGAGGGTGAGGATTCAATGACAACGAAATATATGTAAGTGAGTTGTGGAGGAGGAATCAATAATATAGCCCTTAGATATTGATTAGGTAAGGAGAGGGGAGATTAAGGAAAAAGAAGGTATCAAGGACCATGGATGATTCTTTAATTTTATTTTTGTTTGTTAAGTTGGTGATAGGATTGAACCCAGGCCTTCACTCTGAGCTACATCCTCAGCTCCTTATTATTGTTTATTTTGAAACAGGGTATCTCTAAGTCATTAAGTTGCCTAGGCTGGACTCAAACTTGGATTCTTCCTGCCTCAGCCTCTCAGAGTGCCAGGGTTACAGGCATGTACCACCATGACTGGCTAATTTTACAACTTTATACCCAGTTTAAAAAGGAGGGGAAAATCTGTAGAAATTCCAAATCCCAAGAGCCCATGAAGCCACCAGCTCAAAATCTGAAACCAAGGCGGAGATCATAAGAGTTACAGATAATAGAACAAGTGAGCCTCTTCTGTCTTCCTGCTGGCCTCCTACAACTCCTGAGTATCACTGAGACCAGAGGTGTTGGGCTTTGGTGTTGTTTGTGATCTGGGGCAAAGCAGAAGACTTTCCTAATCTCCAGAGGCTTTCCCACAGCTCTGTTTATGGAAATTTTTTAAAAATCATTTTTCAAGCCTGGCTATAGAATGACCTGGATA